GTCCGGTAAGAAAAAACGCTTCTTTTATACCCTTTTTGGGTTCGTCTTATCCACCAATCAGAGACGTTTTATTTGTCGCGTTTCACATTGTATACGTGACGCTGGGATCCCCAAACAGTCAGGGCACGATGTGTATCTAATGGTACCGGTGATGATGTATCGCGGTATCTATTATATACAGTTTATATCACCGTCGTTGCCCGCTGACGGAACCGACGACAATGTAAACCGATATCTTAGTATCTTAGTACTAAGTAAACTATAGATTAATTTTTGTTCGAGGCTAAAATTTCAACATCTATAAAAAAATATGCGAAACTTGTATGTTGAAACAGACAGAAGCGAAGACGATACATTTTATTTTTACGTTTTTACTTATTTGTTTTATTCGTAATCTCATTCTCAGTGTAATTGTCGTCGCTTCTCCTCCGACAATCGAATCGGTAATCGATATCAGAGTATCGATCGATATCAAAAGTAAATTTTGTTCGAATGTAAAATTACATCGAGCCAACATTTGATTTGATCGTAGATTGTACCGACGAAGCTCTAACAATGAAACATATAGGATAGACGATCGTGTTTACTTACCATTGGCCGCCGCCACAAGAGCCAGTATTGACAACGTTGGAAGAATCATGTTTCCGTTTGTATCAAACTAGCAACTGTGATGATAATGCCGAGCGCGTCGTTATTTTATATACCCTAATTCGTTCTTTGAAAATCTCAAGTGGTTCCTGAGCCCCGATCAAGATTAGATAGATCTGCAATCCGTGTCGAATCAATACGTGGATTTCGCGATCGATTGGGATTACTATGATTAATTGCCTCCGATAACACGTTGGCCTGATATCTGCGCACGACGCAACCGGATGCTCTGTTTCTGTTTGACAGTGTTTACACAGAACACTCGAAGCTGACAAACCGCTTTTTTTTCTCTCTTTGTTTTGGTACGGGCACATCGAATTTTTTGATTATCGTGTTTCCCCAGACCGATGAACGATTTCAGACAATTTTTCAGAATCATTCGGATATTGCGAGCAGATTAGTTTTGATCGCAGATTATCGATTAATTAGTACAGATTACCAAATGTAATCGTGATTACTAATTTATTCTGGTATCGATTAATCGACCAACGATTGCCATATAATCACCTTTCTTAATCCATTAAAAACGTAATCACAAAATAATCAATTACACTGGCCAACTCCGATCGTTGACAAGCATTTATGGACAACCTAAATTATTAAATTAGTAGCTAACGTTCGTAGCTACCTTTCGTTTTCTCAATCGATTCTCCAACGTCGCAATAGTGTTAATCTTTATGTAAGAAAGTTATCACACAAGTTATCGCGATCTAATGAAACTTTCTTTTGCGATTATCTCCGGCGAGACCTTATTCAATTCCTCGGGTTTAGTCTTGTCTAGGTATTAAAGTATTTTCCGATACCGCACTGTTATCGTAGACTCATTAGTAGATTTCCAGCTAGCGAGATATTAATTTAATAATCGTTCGAAGATACGAAACTGCAGTGTCGTGTTCGCAGTCTTGTTACCGTAAACATTAACCGATTTCGTTTCCAGCTTTCGAAACGTATTTTGAAAAGATTACTTCCATTATCCAGTGATCACGAATTTTCTGTCTCATACGATCCTAATCGTATTTGACAGATACTCGATAAGTAAATGCTGACACCATAATAAAACCGCTTCAAATAATTATCGCGATTGCATCAAAAAATCATTTATCACGCTGACTCGACAATTTATCGGATATTCCGAGCTTCAGGCTCGAGCAATCGATACGATTCTGTAACGTTGCTTCTAATAACAATTGAAGACAGAAATTGTACTTTACGGGGTGATTCCCGATGAGAAAAATAAAATACAAGAAATTACGATACGAATTTGTTGAAAAATCCGAAATCCAGAAAATCATGCTGTAATCATATGCGTTCTCGTCGCTAATATAACCATGCAATTTATGCGACTTGAAAACTTTAAAATAACCTAATCTAACCTAAACCCGTCACAAAATTATGTTACTTCCGAGAAATGAGGGGTTCCTGAGGTCATTTGGAGTAACATTTTCCTTAGCGCAAATGCAATCCGCGGCTTTGTTTACGAGTTATTAACGAAAAACAGTGACCAATGGGAGGCGAGCTCGGCTGCCGCGTGGCGGCCAATCGGTACAGTCGAAGCCCAGTTCTGTTCATTGGCTCGGCCGTCTCGCGCTTGATGATCTCGCCTCTCATTGGTTACTGTTTTTCCTTAACAACTCGTAAACAAAGCCGCGGATAGCATTTTCACTAAGGAAAAAGTTATTTCAAATTATCTCAGGAATCCCGCAAGTAACATAATTTTGGGACACCGTGTATATTTACATGATATGGTTTCTCGAACAATTCCTTCTTCTTCGATCATTTACAAAACAAGGAATCGTGATTAATGTGCCAAGTCTTCCGCGAGTTAATTTCGTTCCGCCGACATTGCTTCTCATTGTTCCAACGGCCGTAGAATTGTGTTCGTTAACACAACATGACGTCAACGATCGTATCTTCTGTTCAATGAGAGCAATTCATTTCGTGAAGCATGTTCGATTGATTTCGTTATCGCGAAACCAGATTCGTCGGACGCTTCGATTTTCTTAATGACCATCCGACAGCGTTGGTAACGAAGGAGAAATTCTTCGAGTGGGCCATAATTGAACGCCGATGCAGAACGTGTGCTGATATACGATCTCTCGAGTGGTCTCCGCTGCGCAATTCAGTAGTCTAGATTCTAGATGAATACAATGTGGTACTGATAACGCGGGGAACATTGATAACAGTGGCGTGTCGGTGTGTTACGACACAACGCTCATTCATAGCTTATCGTTGTCACATATTCTAGCATTCATAAAATAAATAAAGGCTGCGACCGATTGTCCACGTTGGCTTCGTTGTTCGCTTTGGATCAGCGATAAGCGTCTTTTTGTAACATCTCTGTTTTATGCAAATGCTCGTTTTAAAACAAAATATAATAGATAGGCCGACGGGACCAAGAAAAAATATATTTATGTCACGATCAGGTGATCCCAAAAATACATTTGTTATTTTACATATTTTTTTTACATATTTTTTACATATTTTGTTTATGTGTAAAAACATATGCAGAAATATATTGCACATGTTATTTGTTCTCTACATATGCATACATCGTGCTTATCCGAATTATCTATCTCGTTAAATTAATTTAGAAGGTTCGGAGTATTTATATATTTACATATTTTCGTGCATATTTACACATTTGCATATTTCCGTGCATATTTACATATTTTCGTGCGTATGTCTCGTGTACATTTTGCATATTTTTCGTGCATACATGTCACGTGCATTCTGCAGATTTTTCGTGCACAAATGTCACATGCATTTTCCATATATTTCGTTCATAAATTTCATATGCATTTTGCATATTTTTTGTGCACAAACATTCGCAGTCTAGCCATTGCTAACAAGCAACAGGCGCAAAGATCTCGAGAATAAATAACTCGATTCATTGTTCTCGCTCGCGCGTCACAGTTTGTTTAATTAAAACCCCGATTAATGGGAACTCTGCGATCGATCAGGCAGAACCAAGGGAAACGGAGACGGCCGTTATCGAAATCAGATCCGCGTCGCGATTAAAAAAGGATTCGGCCAATCGGAAATTTCGTAATCGTTCGTTCTGATATCGCGCGGAAAATAATTAACTGAAATCGCGAGCTCCGCAGCCCGTCTTTTCAACCGATCGCCCACGCCTTGTTAAACGTACAATTGCGCTTCAACGTGGGTTCAATCCTTTTTTTTCGGGTCCGACGATCCTCCTTTTCTCCTTTTTTCCTCCACGCTCTTTTCGCTTCTGACCTTTGAACTAGCTATCTGTAGTATCCGCGGCTCTTAAAGTATCGACTTCTACAAAAGCGCGGGCGGACAGAACGATTCAAAGGTTGTCCGAGGAAAAACGAGGACTTTCGAGTGGAGTGTTCGCGTGAATTATTCGAGTGCGCGGTTTTCTTCCCTTTGCGGGAGGCTTGGATTTTCCTCGGAGAACTGAAGCGAGAGCGAAATGTCGTTCCGCCGCGCCGGGAGGGGCGGCTCTCTCTCCTTAAAGGGTGCTCGGGAAATTCGTCGGTGTTTCTCCTCTTAACATGATACACCTGGCGGGATATCGCGTAATGCGGACTCGCGTGACACAGACCGCTCTGATTACCTGTGAACTCGGCGACCCTGCCCTCGACAGTGCAACCTGGTCGCCTAACTCCGAAACACGGTTCAAGAACCGCGAGCCATTTCTCATCGTCTCGTTTGCGAGCCTTTTTCTCGGTTCGATTTGATTCTGATTCGTATCCGACTAAGATTTCATTCGAATACAAATCCATTCGAATACGAATGCATTCAAATATGATTTTATTCGAATAAGAATTCATTCGAATAAGAGAATTCATTCGAATAAGAATTCATTCGAGTAAGATTTTATATGAATTAGAATTCATTCGAATGCGCTAGCCATGTATGTGTCCAAAAAGATGATCGTTTGTTCCCATGAAACCGAGAAAACGATTTATTGTAACGGAATAGGTTAGCGTTAGCTTTTTTCTTGGTTCGATTTGATTCTGATTCGTATCCGACTAAAATCTCATTCGAATACAAATCCATTCGAATACGAATGCATTCAAATATGATTTTATTCGAATAAGAATTCATTCGAATAAGAGAATTCATTCGAATAAGAATTCATTCGAGTAAGATTTTATATGAATTAGAATTCACATTCGAATGTATCTGTCCAAAAAGATGATCGTTCGTTCCCATGAAACCGAGAAAACGATTTATTGTAATAAGAGTACGTGTGTTTGAACTGAATAGGTTAGCGTTAGCTTTTTTCTCGGTTCGATTTGATTCTGGTTCGTATCCGAATAAGATTTTATTCGAATACAAATCCATTCGAATAAGAATGCATTCAAATATGATTTTATTCGAATATGAATTCATTCGAATAAGAATTCATTCGAGTAAGATTTTATATGAATTAGAATTCATTCGAATGCGCTGGCTATGTATCTGTCCAAAAAGATGATCGTTCGTTCCCATGAAACCGAGAAAACGATCCGTTGTAATAAGAGTACGCGTGTTTGAACAGAATAGGTTAGCGTGCCGGACAAAGTGCCGAACCATCGTAATAATTCGTTAAGCATCAGGTTTCGCGCAGCGGACACGGTGATCTGCATAAACGGGCTTGGTGTGGAGATCAGAAAACGATCGCGGAAAGGAGCACACATTGATCCTTCTCGGTTCGCCGGGTAACACCGGAAACGGGAGCAACACGTGAGCCTCTCTCTTTCTCTCTCTCTCTTTGGAGAGAGGATGGCGTATTGATCCTTACAGCACCACACCTGACCTCCTATCCTTTTTCAACCGGCCACATCGTCCTTCCTAAATTCGTCGTCGGTGGTCTTATAATTGCATTCGAATTGATCGCGTGATCTGTCCGTTTACATTCGGGATTCACGGAAAGCAGCCGAGGAAATCGAAAAGTGTCGTTGCTATGCAGAATTGCGTGGAGTTATGAATGAATTATTTGAGGAATCATAATTACAATTTAATTCAATTATATTGTAATTCGTAATTCAGATCGCCATTGAATTAAATTAGAAGGTGA